CTGGCCAAGTCAATCTCCAGACTTAAACCCTTCTGAGCATGCATTTCACCTGCTAAAGAGGAGACTGAAGGGAGAAACCCCCTGAAACAAAAAACAACTGAAAGAGGCTGCGGTGAAAGCCTGGAAAAGCATCACAAAAGAAGAATGCAAACGTTTGGTGATGTCAGTGGGTCGCAGGCTTGATGCAGTTATTGCAAGCAAAGGATTTGCATCTAAATACGAAGTATTATTCACTTTTCACACTATTTGAAGTCTCTGTCCCAATACTTTTTCTCACTTGGAAAATGGGTGTGTTTAAAGAAAAGGTGCTTTCTTCTCAGCTGTTTAACAGATCTAGATGTAAATACCTGGAGTTAAAAGCTGAAATACTGACCTTTTGGCTCATATTCGTCTTTTGATGTCAAACCCAATTGTTTTCATTGTACAGCGAAAATAAAGCAATTGGCCTCGCTGTTCCAATAGCTTTGGAGGGGACTGTATAAAGAACATGAAGTTTACTCTGTAGATGACACTGTCAAGGTCAATACAAGTCATCACCTGCTCGCGTCCTCTTTAAGGACCAAAAAACACACCACCTTATAAAAGGCCATCACACATTTACAGTATGGTATCATTTGAAGCATAAGTGGAAGTGAGGACATGAGTGTGACTAATCATTGACTGTGACCATCAGTCAGTGAAGGCAGTTAATCATTATCTCTGTGCCAGGTTCTAGCCGTTAATAGAAAGGGATTTGTTTTATGTTTTCACACTGTATTTATTTTTTGGTTTCTGTGGAGAATGTCATGCTGTAATTGACGGGCATTTGCCTAAAGCCTTGATTTATTCTAGTGAAGACCAAAATGTAGTGGAATGAAAGAGTGTTAATGCTGTTGGCGTAGTGTCTGTGTTGACTGGCAGATGATTGTGGAGAGCTTTGTGAGTCCATGGTGTTTCCTCTACCTCAGATGTTGTAAATGTGTAGAGCCCTGTTCCTCCACCACAGCAGCGTGACTCGACTAACCCAAATGAGTTACAAGTCTTAGATACCTCTCTCCAAAGCTTGGCTCTTTAATGAGCTGGTTGCTGTTCAGAACCAAAATTGCCTTTTTTGATATGAGGAACTTCGACAGCGTTTACATATTTTCTCCCCCCTAAATATATATTTTTATTACAATTAAATCACATCTGTTGCCTTCATTCCAATGTATCTTTTTTAATGACATTAAAATGGCATGACTGTTTATAGCAGACTTTGGGTTATTTTTAGACTGCTTTTCGTTTATTTTTTCTCCACAATGTTTATAGCATTTCATTCTGAACTTGCTGTTATTATTTAAACTCAAATTTAATTAAACCACAGACTTTATTCTGAATATCTCTTCTGCATATGTGTATGACATTGATCTTTTTTTCATCCTATTTCTGCTTAGTTTTTGCCTAATATTTGTTCATTTATTGCTAGATGTTTGTTTCATGCATATCTCAAAATGTTTTCTACAAAAGTATTACTTTCTTATCTTCCCAGCAGGACGTGTGGTGAACTACAGTATATCAAATGTAATATTATGTAAACAATCGCATTTCAGAATTTTCAAAACAGTAAAAAATAACTTTTACAATTTCTGAGACTTTCTTATAATTTATCTCCATGTCTTTGTCTGGTATTGCTGTTAGGTAAGGCCCATTTCGGCTCAAATGAACATGATTCAAGGTTCATAAACCTCGTCATTTTTACAGTTACACAACAAAACACAAGTTGTATGTATTGTATCATTGTAAGATTTTTATCAATTTTTGCAAATTAATTCTTCATATATGATTAATGAGAGGGAATATTTAGATTCATGGTATTATTTTCACATGTTTCGCTCCATTATTCCTTCGGCCAATGGCGTGACAGTTTCTCATCTCGCCCGTTTTTGTGTGTACGTAGCGGTCAAAGTGTCCGTGGAGATGCCGGCAGAACAGCTAAACCAACATTTGACATGCTGTCAGATTTTGGTTCTTGTTGGGGAGGTGGAGACAGGTGAATCAGATTGTTTTGTGGATGCAGTTTGAACATTACAAAGAGTTGTAGCATGTCAACCCAGTCTCATGGCATTTCGTGTTATAGTCACGACATTTAATCTATTGATTCGTGTTCACCAACACGATTTTCCCCTTTTTTTCGTGTCACACAGAACGATTTTAAAAGCAATGTATTTCTATTGGTAGTATGTTTCGTGCCTGCAGCACGTCTTTTTGTCCGTTCGGATCTTGGAAGACCGGAAGCTGTGGGGTTCATAAAAACATGTTTTTACTCAATATCAAGCTACGATTATTGTTTTTATTTTAAATCATATAATGTTGGACTTTTTTTGTCGTCTGTGAGGAAAAGAAATGCCTCTGCAATTTTTTAGATTGTGCAGAAAAGCCTCCGCAGCTCCTTGGATCCTCCATTCATCCGTGAAAATGTCTTTATCAATAAGAGTCTGGTCAATCTCAGTAATGAAGTCGGTGAGCCAAAGTCTTTTCATTAACGCGTTGTAATTGTTTCTGAAGAAAAAATCGGGCATGTCATTCAGACAATCGTG